AACATTCATATCCCCCACACCCCAGGATTTCTCTGGATCGTCCTGGCTGCTCAGGCACTCGGTCTGCAGACCAGACTGGCCTAGAACTCAAATCATTTTCTCCTTTTAGGTGAATATCATAAGGCTCGATTGGGCCCTGAAATGAGAACTCATCTCTGTATGAGACAAGTTTCATTCTGAGTTTTTCATAAGACGTTACTATAGGGGAAATATGAAAACCAAGGCAATTAACTTTACTTTTTTTTTTAACAAAGAGATGCCTTGGTTTATTCAACTTCGTCTGACAAAGCCTTTAATGATCAACTCTTACCCAGGCCTCACTCCTATCTTAGTGTGTGCTTTAAAATAGATCAGAAACTAGAAAAGCTTTGCTTTGCCTGGGTCTCCACTGGAGGGAACACCTATATTCAAGATTAGCAGCCGTGAACCGGACGGCTTTGCTCTAGGGGTCACACATAGATGACAGTGTGCTCACATCACGCTGCTTGGTGTCTGTTGCAGCCTAGCTGAGTTGAAAACAAACGCAAAAGGACTGCTTGTTTGCCGTGCTTCCTTCCACCAAGCCGTATAGGCGGTTGCATAACTTGCCAGGACAAGTAGGAGAATGAGTCAAGATGGGAGCAACCCCAGGAAAAATGGTGAATTAGGCAGTTTGGCTTCAGTGCCACACCTACAGCAGCCATGCACACAGCTTCCTGATCTCCTCCCTTGGTATCATGAGCCCCGAGGGGTCACCAGCATACCAAGGGCCTCTCCCCTTCACCTCACTGAAACTCACTACCCCTGTGCCTCCTCACTAATTAACTTTTCCTGCTGCAGTTTCTCCCTCAGGATTTAAAGTGACAACTGCCTAATCTGATAATGCCATCCACATTCATGCGTGGAGAGAAAACCCACACTCACGTGTGGGGGGAAAGCCAGAAGGTAAAGCCAATTTTAACCATGATCTTCTAAAGACACCTTTACAGCTTAACTCATTAGCAACCTGCAGTGAGAATTTCCAGCCAAGGAATTTAGGTGTTTGGCGCAGGGCAAGCCTCTGCTCTCAACGTTTAGACTTATCTGTGCCCTTGTTGTCATGTAGCTGTGTCCTAGAGGGATTCTTGTGTTTTAAAGACTTCAGTTACTCCCCAAAAAGAAAATAACCCGTCTTCAGTGGCCCCGAGGGTAACTGTATTCCTATCTGATTTGAATCGCTACACCCCCTTTCCCCCAAGGCAATTCTTCATTGCCTTGGAAGTGTGAGTGCCCACGCCTCACAAAGCCTTTCTGGAGCGCTGGAACTGGCGCTCCAGTTACCTGCTCACGTTTGGGTGGATTCCTTATCATGCTCCTGCTTCTCACCTGGGCAGAGTTCCCAGCACAGCTCTCAGTCTGTTTAGCAAGAAGGAACAATATGTTTCAGGGCTTAACAAGGAGAAAAACACTAACATGGCCTGTCCAAGCTAGGGTACGCATGTTTCCCACTGAGAAGAGCCTAAGAAAGCAGCTGGGAAAACAGTGCTGTTTACAGATGTGGATGGACTCAGAATAAATTCCAGTCTGTAAGGAAAAAGGAGTGGTTTTAAAGTGGCTGATATTTAAACCACGCAATCTTAACATTGGAGAGAGACTGAGCCCTCCTCTGGGGCTTTGTTGGAACACAGAGCTGATTTCCTTAGAAACAAAATTTAACTAGGTGCAAAGTGTTCTATGGGCCTTGGGTTGTTGATCATGCAGAAACCATCCTTGGACACAGAAGTTCAGAATAGTATGTGGGCATGGTAAAGCCACCCTACAGCAGACTCCAACATACATTCCAAGTATGTGAATGGTGGCAACAGCACTCACGCCACACTGCTGTCCTTTGATTTTCACGTGCCTGTGCACACGTGCCTGTGCACACGTGCCTGTGCACACGT